TGATAATGAAATTAAAATTTCACTTAATGAATTAATTAATATATTAAAAAAAACCATTAAATAGTTGAAAAAAAAAAGTAATAAATAAAATTAGCTGGAGAAATATTTGAATTAGATAATCAATTAAATAGTAATTTAGATAAACCAAAGAGTATTATAAAACTTCCAGAAATTTCAAAAGCCGATAGATGAGAACGGGAAAATATTAAAATAACAGAATCTAAACATGAACTTTGTCTTAAAAGCGAAAACAAACTTGTAAATATTCTGATGAAAGCATTTAAGGAAATTATCAATGAAAAAAAAAGAGAGAACCTTTTCTTAATTTTTTAACTCTATTTTACAAAGAAAGAAATACAAAAGGGCTCACAACTGTAGTCACAAGGATCTGATTCAAACTGTATATATGTGGTGAAGCAAGGACAATTGACTATTACATTTACATCAGCAGAAAACAACGAACTAAATGTGATCAAAAGAATTCTACCACTTACCATGATAGGTGAATTGGAATTTTCCACTGATAATCAGCGACCAACAAACCTGGTGGCAAATACTCTTTATGTTCTATGGAAAATAGATCAAGCGGCTTATTTGAGGATGTTGGGATATAATCCCATTTTAGGAACAACTTTTATGAGATTGGCAGTGAAACTTTCTATAGAAAGGTTACAAGACTCGAATCATCATGCCTTTAATTTTAAAAAAATGACAATAATAATACAGAACTTCGTAATATAAAACTTTTCATATCATCTATTGGATTATTTACTTATGAAAATTATTATTCAGTTTGGGGACGAATTAGAAAATTTAAAATTTTATATAAATATAGAGATGTTCAATTCATCTTGGATTTTAAGTGGAATAAATTCGGATTCAAGTATTATTATGGAATTTGGGTGATTTATATATATTCTTTATCATATACATCAAGAATATCATCTATATTTTGGGATTTGATAATTTGGCCACGCGGCGCAGTATTTGATGTCTTTGGTAAAGAGTTAAAAGAAAGAAGCCTTGGCAATTCAAGAAAAAAAAGATTTATACAGTTTTATTCATTAATATTTAATCGTTTATTTTATTAAAATATAAGTATAATATGATGGATGTTACGACAGTGAAAACTAAATGAATTCTATAAAAGATAGAAATGCGGCCTGCAGATCATTAATGGAAGCACGACCTGGACTGAAGGTTTTTTGTTTGTAATACAAAAATAACCAAAAATTAAAAATTCTTTTTAAATGTCAGCTCACACTATCATCAACATACTAGATAATAATAGAATTCAGTTGGATATAAAGGTGTTACAATTACAACAATGGTTATGTAAACTACATAAAAAACTTTTAGATTACGATAGACCAAGTAATTGCGTTATTGAAAGTAGAAATTCAGTCGAATGGTCAATAGAATATAATTGTAATTTTGAAAATATTAATATAAAAGCACGGAAACTTATTAATGAAGAATGGACCATAGTTGAATATGCTTTATTTAATTATGTTAACGATGAATTTAGATGTACTGAATTATTAGATAACGATGATTTAATGATACGAACAGCTAACTATATACTGATTTTATCATTCAATGAACAAAGTATGAGAATATATACAAAATATATTAAGAATGATTATTTAGATGGTGATAATGAAGAAGCTATATTTAAAAAAATTAAGTTCTACACAGAGTATAATAACTTTGAAGAATCATTATTTGATTGTGAAGAAGTTGTTAAAGGATTTTCTAGACAGCCTTACAAAGAAATGCTTTTCTATATGTTAGATGATGATTATTATTTTACCAAATATGGAAAGAAGATTTTAGAATCGGCATTAGATGATAATAGTGTTATTGTACAAGAAGCGTTCATTATTCGTTTTGAAAAAGACAAATTAACTACTACAAAGTTTTTGTTTCCATTTAAGTGTAGTATTAATATTTTAAAAAATAACGACAATAATATAGAGACTCGTAGAATAAAATTTTCAATCCCATCGATTAAATTATTTACTTATGAAAAAGATTCAGTTTGGGAAGAATCAATTTCAGAATTATACAAAAATAGAAATGTTCAATGCATCTTGGATTTTAAATGGAAAAAATTTGGATCCAGATATTATTATGGACGTTGGATAATTCATATAGCCTTTTTATCGTGTTTCGTTATTGCTACTACAACACAATCAGATAAACTTTCAAATGAAGCTAGAATGTTATTAGTAATTATTGCAATTATACTTGGGGTTGTTCACCTTTATTTTGAAATAAGACAATTTAGTTATAATCCAAAAAAGTATATAAGAAAGATTTCGAATTTATTTGGTAAGTTATTGATTTTATTTAACAAGAGTATTCATTTATTTCCTTGATAATTTTATTAATTATATAAACATAATAACTGCTTTCATAGATTTTGTTGCATATTTACTGCCAACTATAGCTTCAATTATTTGGATAATTAATGAGAATCCATCACCATCTAGGCAGTTAATTTCATTCTCTAATTTATTATTAAATTTGAAATTTATATTATTTTTAAGAGTTGTTGAACAATTTGGAATATGTTATGCAGTAATAATAATATTAAGAATTCTAAAAAAAATTTCTTCGTTTTTAATTATTTTTTCTTTATTTATTCTGAGTTTTTGGCATGCATTTCACTTATTCATAAATGAGCCTGCTATCAATGATGATCAACAACCTGACAACGAAACCAACAAGTTCCTTTCCATACTAGAAATATTTGATGGTAAATTTTGATTTTGATTTTGATTTTGATTTTTAAATTGTGTTGTAATAATGTTAAATACAATCAATTTATTTATTTTATAGGTGACAACAGCGCATTGAGATCTTGGTCATTGCAGGATGATCCTTATCTGGTATTATTATATGCAGGATTTACATTAATAGTTCTAGCGTGCGTGAATGTTCTACTTAGTGGTTCACTTGGTAATGATCTTAAAAAATTTGATAGAAAGATTGAACTCTGTGCTCAAAAAGCAAGGATCATAGCTGAATTTGAATCAAGTTTCCTATATGCTGAGCAACATTGTAGAAAATATTCGTTTCCAGTTGCATTGTAAATATAATAATTAATCAATTAAAATTTTAAACATTTTAAATATTTTTTTTACTCATCTTATATTACTAATTTTTAGAATCTATATTGATGAAACTCCTAAAGTAATTGTAAAAATTAATGGTGGTAATAAAGATTCAATACCTGATCAATTTGGAGAATTTGTTGAATACCTAAATCAACAAAACCAATAAACGTTAAGAAATACAATTCAAATCAAAGACGATTTTGGAAGCAATTGGACATTAGTATATTTATTCAATGTATATAATATACAATAACTAATAATAATAATAATAATTACGTCGAAGTACTTATTATTTTATTTATTTATCTTGGACATAAACGAAAAAACTAGATTATTTATTATTTTTATATTTTTTTAGTAGGAATTAGAAATTAACAAAATGATGTATATTATTTTTTTTTGTTTTTTCATTAAGATAATAATATAATAACAAATAGATACTGTATAACCAAAGAATTATTTCCAACTTTTTTTATTTTACTTTTTTTTATTCTTTTTATTTATTATTTGTATGTGTGTATATTTTGATTAATAAATTTTTATTATTTTCAAATTATTGTTTTTTCAATAAAAAATAATAATAATAATACGGTAAATAACTTTGTTACGCGGGCGGTATTTAGAAAATCTCCCGCTCCACTAAAGTAAATTTAAATTTTGTAGATGGTCCGTTTAAAAAATTACAATTGCCTTAACATGACTACAAGCATTTTGTCTCTTAAACTGTTCAATCAATAAATTTCGGAAAATGGTGTGCAGAGTCTATAGCCACCATTTTTGCATGTGACCTTTAAGAATAGAAGCCTATTTCTGTTGATCATAGCACCTTCTTTGAATCAAGGTGAAAAAAGGCACATACTTGTTAGACATGATGAATCTGTATTTTGGGACTCCCGCCTCATGCGCCATTGGGAAAAAGGAACAGGTTTGAGTCTTCATGTCGGTGATTTTCTAACAGAGGATTGAAATGAAGAATCTCGTGTAGCGATGAAACCTGGGGTTAATCGTAAAGGCTGGTGGGCCCCTGAACATTTAGTTAAGCAAGTAAATTAATTGAAGATAATTGGTTTTTATTTTTATTTAAAAAAAATTGCTTGCCAACTAATTTATAGATTGTTGAAATGGCCATCCCAATTTTGAAAATCTTGATCCTGTTTAATTGGAGTTTTTGCATTTGATAATTTGATATAATGCAACAAGTTGCGCAATTTATGCCGAAGATGATTTAATTGCAAGAAAAATGAATCTTAAATCAAGAGGGAATTAAATTTAGAGATTGAACAATGCCGGATGGAACAAGACCAGAAATGCATTTACCTGCAAGCAGCGCAATTCGGTCTAATTTTGTTGATGGCCATAAATTTCTTTCTTTAAGGACTAATTCAATTCCTTTCGGTCTGCCATCAGAAACATTCACAATCCAAGATTCTGGTTGTGCAGTTCGAATTCTTGAACTTTAACCTGACTTCATGAACCAAAAATCTTTAATTCGAAGAAATTATTGAATCTTATCATTTTTATCCCAAGTTCCAATTTGAACTTAATTTTATTGAATTATTCTTAGTACAGCAAAACAATACACTTTCATTGACATTAGATTCTGTTTCTCTTGAAAAAATTTGCTTGCAGGTCTTGGATGCTTAGACCTAGAAGCTTTATATGCAGTAAAAAGATATAATAATTCCAATGAAATCAATCAACTGTTTAATTAAAATTTTATATTAATATTTCGGATCTTGCTTATAAGAGTAGCGTAGAGCTTCTATTCGTAATACAAATTCTTATTCGTTTTATTCGTTTTGAATTATTCGCTGTTTTATTCGTTTGATTCGAACCATTCGTTTTATTTATTTTATTCGCTTCATTCATTTTATTTGAATTATTTATTTTATTCATCTTTTTGCTTTATTCGCTTTATTCGTTTTATTCGATTTACTCATTTTATTCATTTATTTGTTTCATTCGCTTTATTCATTTTATTCGAATTACTCATTTTATTCGTTTTATTCAAACTATTCTAATTATAAATTTCATATATAAAGATTTTTTTACAGATTTTTTTAAGTAAAAATGCGCAACGTTTAATGAAAATAGAAGAGTAATATACCGGAAGAATAGGGTAATGTAGGATTTTTTTATTTAATATAAACATAACACTTATTTTAATTTAAAAGAAAAAAAGTAAATTTAAAACAAAATTTATGCAAATAAAATCAGAACAATTATTCATAAAACATGTAAATATGTAAATTTAGATAAAAGCAAATTAGAGTATATTCATTGATAGGTAACCAGAGGTTTTGTTCTATATATTCCTATGTTACTATTAATAAGAAATTTTATAAAGTTAACGAAACTACTAGTGATGTGACATGCGCGTGTTTTTTTTTCCAAATCATACAATACTAATCCATAATTCTATTCAAAAAAAAAAAAATTGCGAATTTTTAATTTTTACCAAGTTATTATCGATTATATTATTGATAGTATATTTTTAAGAAAATGACAGGATCGAAAATTTGGCCTCATTTGTTAAACTGGGTAGGATTGATAATTTCAGCTCCTATTTCATCAGCTTGCTTCTAAAAGGAATTGGTCCACTTTTTCTTTTATACACGATAAAAAAAGAAACAAATTGACACCAGAATGTGATTTAAATTGGTGTATATTTATTTTAATTACAAATTAAAAATGATACATATGTAAACTCGATAAGTCGGTCATGTCGGGGCGGACCCCTGCGGTCGACTTATCGAGTTTACATATGTATCTTTTATATTAGTGTTACCAGAATTAGGATTTAACGCTAATTTTTTAGTCGAAATACCCTAATTCCGAACCAAATCTTTTATTTCTATTTTTACTTTATCTTTATTCCTTATATTTTATTTCTTATTTTTTTTTATTCATATTTATTTACATTTTTATTATTTTATTTGTATTACATTTTTATTTTAGAATGTTACGTCGCAATTAAAGTGCGATATCGCGGCTAGAATGTTAGATTGCAATGAAGTTGTTACTAATTAATTTAATTGTATAAAAGAAGCTCAAATTCGACTTGCTTGTAAAATAACTTTGTCATAAGTTAATTAGTTTCGACTAAATAAAACTAAATAAATAAAATAGTAATATTTTATTTAAATAAACTTTTATCTTTTTTAAACAAAATTATTCGCTAATACCAAAAATCCCCTATTCATTCTGATCCACGCAAAAACAAAAACAATTGTTATCACCAATTAAAATACGCTCTCCCAAATTTAATCGGTGACATTAGGAAGACTAAGGACTTCAGCTTGTGCTTCTGAATTATCTAAACCACATTGATTTGTTTTGGATTTAAAAAGTTGAATATCTATTCCTCCATCATGTCATTTGAGAAAGTTATTTATTTGTAGAGTTTGATGTTCTCCTCCACAAAGTGCTAACGATATAGAATTATAAAAAAATATGTGCCTTAAAAGTCCTTCAGGGGTGGTTTTTTGAAGACTTGGGCGAGAAAGAACTTCTTGCAAGGTAAGACTATCAGCTCCATTATGTTCACCAAGTCCTTTAGATGTGAGGGTTTTTAATTTTCCATTTAGAGTTTCATTAAATAAATAAAATGCTTTTGGATTAAGAAGATCAATTGGTTTTGGAAGCATGGATTTTTCATTGAGATGTCTCCAAAGAGCAGCTGCACAATTTCAGATTGATGATGCATGATAAGGAGTTCCATCTATTTTTTTCATTGCAAGAATAAACTTGGACAATTGATCTTTTAGAATATTTTTGTCATCAATCTCTTCAACCTTTCTGGAATACCCAACATCAGCATGAAATAGTTCAAGAACTTTAATCCAGCTTTTGTTCGAATTATGGATGGCCTGAACTCTCCCGAGTTTCATAGTTGCTGAAGATCTTCAGTACAGAACCCCCTGTCGTGAGAATTTTTGTTCGTTATAGCCAGGGTTCGTTATAGCCAGCTAGATGTGTCACGTGTTGGCAACATATAATTTAATTTGGTTCAATAACATTTATCAGAAAAGCTTATAAGAGTTATTTTCATAATATGAAATTATAAAACATTCTCAAATATAAATAAAATATAAATAAAAATCTTATCAATCTATCCAGAAGAAGCAATGAATGGAAATAAAAGAAACAAATAAAAGTAACAAAAGTATAAAGAATTATGAAATATAATTTATGTATTGCTACCAAATCATCTGGAAATTTGAGGGTATTTATAATAAAGTATTAACATTACTAATCACGCGAATTCTTTTTTTTTACAAAAAGCCATGACATAATATTATTAATACTAATTAATAATATGTAAATGCAATATAATTAATTTGACAATAGTTTGATTGAATGATTTTTTGTTCTGAGTGGCAATGGTTACGTTTTTTTTGATATTCTAAAATGTTTAATCAAAAACGAAATTTTGCATTATGTTACAAATGATATTACATGTGTTCATGTGAAAATTCGTTATAGGAAGAGCAAATTAAATAAGAAACTTCAAAAAAGGTGAGTTCGGATTCGTTATAAACAGATTTATTAATTATAAAAATTCGGTCATGGCGATTTTGATTCGCTATATCCGGAGTTCGGTATATCCAGGTTCGATATAGCCAGAGTCAACTGTACTTGGTTCAGTGTATAAAAATAATATATTAGAGGAATAATAAATATATTGTTAATATTAGAATAGAAAAATAAATAAATAATACCTTTCTTTTTGGCATATAAAATAAATAATAAAAGAAAAAAATGCAAAGCAAGCACATCTATCTAAAAAAATCAATATCATTAATATAATTAAACTTTAATAAACAGTGACGTTTGAAAGAATAGTATGGCACGCCATGCTGGACAAAAGTGTACCACATTTTGTTGTAAAAAAATAATTGCAACATTTTGTTGTAAATAATTGCAACATTTTGTCGTAATTAATTGCAACATTTTGTCACAAAAAGTTGCAACATTTTGTTGTAAATAATTGCAACGTTTTGTCGTAATTAATTGCAACATTTTGTCGTAATAAATTGCAACATTTTGTCGTAAATAATTGCAACATTTTGTTGTAACTAGTTGAAACGTTTTGTTGTAATTAATTGCAAAATTGGATGATCTGCAGGTAAAATTTTTGTCCAATTGTAAGAAATAAATGCAGTTTAAAGTTTTTCTTTTACATTTCATTTCTGAATAAATAATGACGATTAAAATAATTAGATAATGTGAGCAAGCAACAATAATATACAAATTGTCAAAAAGAAGAGAAATGTAAAGATATTTAATAATATTATTAAAATGCATCAAATATTAAATAACTACTAAATATTAACAATAAATAGGTTTTGAATATTATGTGCAATAGAATTCAGGCTTTCTTTTGAATCTAAGATCACTCAATTCGATCAAGTACTTAGCAAGATACAAAAATATATGGTAATAGGTAAAGAACTATAGCATATCGTATAACTAGATAAAGCATTCATAAAGTATATTTACAAAACTTGCTTTTCAAGCTTCTTTAATCTCATTTAGTGTTAGTTAATTAGTTTTAGAGAGATTTATAAAAAAATAGTTTTATGAAGTAATGGTGGTAACATG